AAACTGTCCCCCCATGTCCTCCCCATGGTGGAATATGGCCTCACCATTCACTTAGCTGCTTCAGCCAAACCCACAGTCACCCTTGGTTCTGCTCTCTCTCTTGCACACATACAGGCCCTTGGCACTGACGCCACTCAAGCACAAGCCAGCAGCTTCTTTCTTCCGCGCCCTCCAATGGCCTCCGAAATGGACCGTCCTGTTTCTACTGTTGCTCCACTACAGTTATTTCTCAGAAAGCAGCCAAAGTAATCATTTTTAAATGATTTATAAATTAAATCAAGGTCGTACATCCACATAAAGGAACATTATTCAGCCATAAAAAGGAATGCTACAAATGTGGATGAACCTCGAACACACTATGCTAAGTGAAAGACCCCAGGCGCAAAAGGCCACATATGGGATGATGCCATTTCTATGATATATCTAGAATAAGGAAATCTATGGAGACAGAGAGCAGAGTGGTGGTTGCCAGGGGCTGGGAAAGGGGGAATGGAGACCAACTGCTTAACAGGTATGGAGTTTTCTTTTGGAGTCATGAAAAATGTTTTGGAACTAAACAGAAGAGCTGATTGCACAACATTGTGAATATACTAAACGCCACTGAATTGTATAGTTTAAAATGGCCGATTTTATGTTATATGAATTTCACCTCAATACAAAAAAGAGAAAACAAATTAGACCACAGCACATTCACTGCTTAAAACCTTCCAGTAGCTTCACAACACAATAAAAATAACGTCCAAACCCCTCACTGCAAGGCCCCCAGGATCCAGACTCCGCTCCAGGACCTCACACTCTCCCTCCTCACTCCCCATAAAACTCTGTGAGGGAGGTACTGTCATCTCCATTTCAAGAGGGGAAACTGAGTTCAGAAAGTGAAGTGGCTTGCCAGGGATCACGTGGGAACACAGTCAACCTGAAGCTGGCTCTGCCTGGCTCCTAACCAGCTCACAGCTGTTGTGGACACTGTAGTGGCCACCGGGACCCTCCTTCAGGATCAGGCACGCATTGCCTCAGCTGCCGAGGGCGTTGGTGGCCGATTGCTCTCAGCTCTGCCGGTAGAAGAGTCCCCTCACGCAAGGTCCTGACTCTCCCCGAGGACAGCCCCCCTCCAATGACATGTTGGTGGAGGATATAAAGGCCTGCCCCCTTACCTCAGGGGGATGTCTTTGGTGGCCATCATGGCTCCAGAGCTGCCCAGGGGACGGCTGAGGCCCAGTCACGACTGCATCAAAGCATCAACTCCTCCCTCTGCCCAAGCCTGCTCCTTCGCTCTTTCACAGGACTGGTTTCCAAGGACAACCACACATCTCCTGCCTGCTAATCTTCATCTCTGTCTGTTTCCTGGGACCCTGACCTAAGATATCTGCCCTACCCTTGAGGGCCAGGTCGGAGGGCACAGTGTTCATCCTGAGGGCCCTGGGGGGGCTATAGCTAAAGCATGTGAGTGACAGGTCAGACTTGCTGCAGAAAGATCCTACTGGAGGGCAAACTGGAATGGAAACAGATGGGAGGCCAAGAGGCCAGTGAGGAGGCTGGTGAGAGGGGCCGGGGCCTGAATTCACACCATGGCAATGAAAGCAGGGAGAAGGCCAATTCCAACAGTGGCCACTGGGTGGAATAAATGGACCATAATTCGAGACTGGCTGACAAGCCCTGCACCTGGCCTGGGGGTGCCTGGGGGGATGCCGGTGCCCTGGGCTGTCTTCCATCTGGAAGTCACTCATCAGCTCTGGGCCAGCCTGTTGGGGTGCCAGCCCTGGCTCTGCCTGTCACTAGCCATGTGGCCTGGACATGGTACCTTGGTGCCTCACTCTGTCCATTAGGGAAAACTGGGCTAATACCAGGCCTTCCTCATGCGGTTGCCATGAGGAGTCAAGGAGAGGACACGAGTTCAGAAAGCTTGGAGAAAGGGCTGGCAAGCGTGAGTGAGCATTACCCTGATCACTCCAGGCTTCCCAAGCACCTGCTAGGTGGCTGGAAAAGGCACAGGCCTTGGGTCAGACACACCTGGCTGCAGCCCTGTGTGTTGGGGGCAAGTCCCTTTACCACTGAGCCCTAGATCTCACAACTGGAGGAGGGCAGTGACCCTCTGCGCCATGAGGGATTATTAGGAGATTAAGTAACACTTGAAAAGTTCCTGGCACGTGGTATGAAGTCAACAAACAGCAGCTGCTGCTGCTGTGAGGCTGGTGGCGAGTACCCGCAGGAAAGCTCAGTGTACTTGGCCGTCCCACGGCAGGCAGCTGAGCCTCGGCAAGGCCAAACCCCGCCCATCCTCGGTGCTCTCAGCCTGCTCCTCCTCCAGTGTTCTCTCTCTAAATGTCATCGCCATCGCCCAGCTGCCCAAGCCAGAACAGGAGGAACGCCCACGTCCTCTCTCCTGAGTCCCCCACCCCAGGCAGACACCAAGCCCCAATGCTCTCCAGCCTCCCCTTGTCTCCATCTCTGCCATCCCCTTACCTCCCCACAGCTCATCCTGCAGCCCCCGCTGCCCCCTTACCAGCTGATTCTGTTTCCCCACTTGAGCCAGTGCAACCTCTGGGGGGCGCTGCATCCCATGGACCTCCTGCTGAAGGAGCAACTCTAACCCACTCAGCAAGAGCAAGGCCAGGCCTGGCCACTGTATCCCCAGGGGTAGCACAGGACCTGGTATACAGCAGACACTCAATAAATGCCAGCTGGCTGGAGAAAAGATGAATGCATGAATGTATACATATGCTAACTGTGCCGACAGAAGTAACACTAACCACAACAGAAAGAGAGCACGAGCACACAGCCCCCACGGCTGTCCTAAGCTCCGTGGGCCTATCTTAAGCCCTTACATGGATGAACTCCTTCCATGCTCACAACGGCCCAACGTGGTAGTGGCTGTTATTGCCCCAATTTTGCAGCCGAAGAAAGGACGTGACAGGGAGTAACTTGCCCAAAAGTCACACAGCCAGTGAGCAGCAGAGCCGAGATACAAACAGGAGTCAGGACCACAATTGCAGCAATGGATCAGAAAAGGTCTGGGATCTGCTATGCTGGCCTCAGGCACCTTCGCACCAAATCCTCCCGCCCATCCTGTGGGGGAGGACTGAGACACCAGGGTTAAGACTCTTGCCCAAGGTTACGCAGCTGTAAACAGGACTGTTCCACTACTTCTTTGTTGATGAATAAATTGGCATCCAGTTTACAGTGACTTCGACTGGAGGGCTACTCCTCTGGAGTCTGCTTATTTCTGGGGGCCCTGATGAATGAAACGTTCTGAGCCCATGTGACCGAGGACTGGACTGTGGAAATGGAGGTGACGGGGAAGACTGCCAGTAGGTGGGCGTCAGACCACCAGCTCCGGGACTCCTGCCTCCTGTCTCCTCAGGTTCCAGCTTCGGGCCCTTTAAACCCACCAGGGGACAGAAGCTTTCAAATCAGCTGGCAGCCTGTGGGGCAGTGCCTCGGGCCTGCCCGTGGGGTGGGGCGGGGGAGACAAAGCCACCAGGACTCCAGGGACAACCCCACCTCCGCCTCCACTAGAGCAGCTCTGCTTTGTCCAGGGTTCTGAGGGTGCTGTCAATGGGAAAAAAGGTTCCACAGTCAAAACAACTTTTGAAAATCAGTGCCCTAAGGGATAAATGTCCTTGACAAGCAAAGTGGCCTTCTCAAGTCTACCCTGGTGACGTTCAGGGCTTGGATACAGTGGATTCTGGGATGGGAGAGACAGGAGGGTGAGAATCTCTGAGGCCTTTAGCCGAGTCCAATGTCAAGGCTGCCCTGACTGTTCGTGGCCATTGGTCCCTGCCCCGCACACCTGCCCTGTCTCCCAGGGCATACCCCCGCCTCTGGGCATTTACCCACACGGTCTCTTGCACCTGGAATAAAAAGAGGAATGACATGTGGGCCCCCCACCTCTGAAAAGCCATACATGCGGTGCTGTCCCTGTTTTCTATAACCCTCACTACAGACCAGTTGGGTATCATTATCCCCGTCTTAGGGGGAACCGACGTTCAGAGAAAAGAAATGACTCACCTGCGCTCTCAAATTCAGGATGATCTGACTCTGAAATATTCTTTTCACTGCACCCTCGCCTACCACCTCCCATGCCCCTGCCTCTCCCACCTCACCTTCATCCAAATCCTGCCCACACTCAGGGCCCGGCTGGCTCTTCCAATGTGCCCCATTCTCTCTCACCTTCCACCTTTGCACATGCTGTTTCCTCTGCTCCAAACACATCATCCTCCTCCCATACCCCCTTCACCTTGCTGACTCCTTTACATCCTTTGGGTACCCGCTTGGGCATCACCTCTTCTGGGAAGCGCTCCCTGGATACCTGGCTGGATCAGGAGTCTCCTTGGGATCCCTCCTCTGAGTTTTCCCAATCATGGCCCTAATGGCTCTGTCTTGTGGTCATTTGCTTTTCTGCATCCTAAGGTGACCCTAAACTCTTGGAAGCAGAGTCCAGGTCCCCTGTGCTTACCACTAGCTCCTGTGCTGCCCAGCATGGTGCAAGGCACACAGTAGGTACTCAGTAAACACCTACTAAATGAATGGAGTTGTGAGTTCAACAGGGAGCTTCGATGTCCACACGTGTCGGGCCCTCCTGGCAGGTGCTGGGCATAGCACACAAACGAGGCGCAGTCCTGGCAGCCCGGCCCTAGCCCTGCCTCCCGCAGGAAGCCTCTCACGATCTCCTGGCCTTTGCCCAATTCCCACTCCACATCTTTCATTCACTCAACAAATCCTTGAGCACCAAGTAAGCCAAGGTGGTGTGAGAGGAGCATTTGGCAAAGGGGGACACGGGAGGTGACGTATCGTCTCTCTTCCCCCTTGCCTGCCCCATGTGCTTGCCAGCACAGCTACACAGTGCACCATCAGCGTGGTGGTCACGTGGAGCCCACAAAAATTCACCCCTCTTTTGTTATGTGCCAGGCTGGTTCTGAGGCTCCAGTGGCTGCCTGCCCACCCGCCCTCCCTTGCTCACTCAGTCCATGGCCCCTTCCCCAGCCCCAGCCCGGCCGTACCCGGTTGATGAGCTCGCCGACCATGCCTGTCCAGGAGCCGTTGGGCTCGGGTGCCCCATACAGCCCATCCTCCACCAACCGCAGGCGGTAGCGGAAGCGTAGCAGCTCGGCCAGCTCCCGCAGCATGTCCACGCAGAAGCCCTCGAAGCGCTCATTCCCTGACAGGGCCTGGAAGTTAGGCCGGCGCATGACGTATGGGTTCTCCTGGGGAAGCAGGAAAGAAGAGGGGTCAGAGATGGGGAATCTGAGGGCTGGGTCGGGGATCCCGGAGCCCAGGCTGGGCAGCCAGATCAGGAATCCGATGGCAGAGAGGGGGTGATGGAGTCGCTGAACACATTACCTGCTTACAAATGCTCAGAGCCAGGGGAAAAGCACATGGACCCTGCCAGCCCTGAGCAGATCACAGGGAGCTGTTTTAATCTCCACCAGCCAATCTGACGCTCAGTCGTCTCAAACTCAGATGCTTACAAAAGGAGACAGGCAACCTTAGAGTGAATCAGACTAGATGGAGATCATGCCAGACTGAACAGGGGCTTTCAATTTTTTGACTACGACCCACAGTAAGAGATACATTTTCCTCTGCAACCCCAGCCATACACATATACGAGCATGTGCCTGCACACGCATGCACGTAACCAGACTGTTCCACAAAATAGTCCTTCCCCCTGTGACTATGGGCAATACACTGATATTTTCTCTTCTGCTCTATTTCTTTTTTTTCACATGACCAGTAGCAACCCACTAAACTGACTTCATGAGCCAGTAAGGGATCAAAGAGGGTCTCTTCCACCAGGATTTAGTTCCAGCCCAATGCTATCACGAGGAAAGCAGGCCTAAGATGCTAGATGGTCCAATATTAAGAGAATTTGGGAACCCAGGTTGTTTTGAAAAATCTCCTGGTTATAAAGGTTAGCAACACTTCAAATTCTAATACCAAATTTTTTTTCAATGCTTTGCAGACTAAACAAACCACCTAACAGTCTGCAAACTTCTCTTAACATAGTTATCGTCTAAATGGCTGTTCATACAGTCACTTTGCACTTACGAACAAAAGGAGTTAGGACTTAGGGAACAACCAAGAGAAGAGCTTTGGCAAAAATAGCCACATGCTTAGCACGTATTGAGCACCTGCTGAGTACTAGCCGCTGTGCTGTGGGTGCTCTCTGGGTTTATCACTTTACTTCCTCACAGGGACCTTACATGGCAGGTACTATTAGACTCACTTTATACACGTGGGAACGAAGCTCACATAGATCAAGCGGCCTCTGTCACCTCTCATTCATCCAACACATAATTACTGAGCTCTGAGGTAGACATGAGCACAGTATTCTTCAGCCCCTCTCATCAAAGGGTAGAGATGGGGGCCAGCCCCATGGCCGAGCGGTTAAGCTTGTGCGCTCTGCTTCAGCGGCCCACGGTTTCGCCGGTTCGAATCCTGGGTGCAGACATGGCACCACTCATCAGGCCACGCTGAGGCGGCGTCCTGCATAGCACAACTAGAAGGACCCATAACTAAAAATACACAACTATGTACCGGGGGGCTTTGGGAGAAAAAGGAAAAATAAAAAATCTTATTAAAAAAAAAGGTAGAGTCGATTTCCCCACAGCTTGGGTTTGAGCTGGCCTCGACACTTGGCATTGGCCAAGAGAACATGGTGGAAGTGATGCTGTGTGAATTCCAGAAGCTGGGCCTTCAGAGCAACCTCTTGGGACAACCGTAAAAGAAAGCCCAGGCCAGCCTGCTGAAGGATGAGTGAACAGAGGCGTGCCAGCCAACAGCCAGCACCAACAGCCACTCTGGACCTTCCAGCCAAGCCTTGTCACTAGCTGAATGCAGCCAGAGTGAGCTCAGGCGAGACCAGAACTGTTCAGTCGGCCCAGAGAATTGTAAGAAATAATAATCATTATTGTTTTACGCCTCTAGGTTTCGAGGTGGTTTGGCACACAGCAATAGGTACTATGAAGCCAGGTCCTATCATAGGCTCTGGATCCCAGGACCCCACAAAGCCCACAGCTGAGGGGTGATGGGATGAGGGAAATCAGTGATTTTTCTCTCTCTACCAAGCTGATTTCCAAATTCAAAATTGTGGAACTGGGAGTAGGAATGTGAGCTAATACTAATAATAGTGGCAGCAGCTAGCATTTCTTGTGGGCTTGCTGTGTGACAGCTATTCTGTCAGTGTGGGAGGTTGGTATTATTACCTCTGTTTCAGAGATGAGGACACTGAGGTCCCTAGGAGTGAAGTAGTAAGTGGCTGAGATGGACAAGTTGGTCTGACTCTAAAACTCTGCTCTTAATCCCTGTGCTAGACTGAACTCAAATGGACAAAATCAGAGGGTGACACAGGAGAAGCTAGGTATAGAGATGGGGGACCCAGGTTGGGTATCGAAACCACAGAATCCGAAATCAAGAATCCTCTAGACAAGCACCCAGCATTGGAGCTGGAAGGCTCTCATACAGCCCTCTTCACATACAGAGGAGGAAACTGAAGCTCAGAGAGGTCAAGTGTCTTGCCCTAGGCCACACAGCTGGCGCAAGGCAGTGAGAAGGGGAGAAGGAGCAGAGCTGGGATTCAAAACCCAGTTGCTGTGCACTCCGAAGCCCTTGTTTCTTCCACCAGGCCAAGCTGATCTCCAAAGTCAAGACTGAGGCACCCGGGCGGTGGATTTGGGTTCAAGGCCTCAGGATCGGGATCTGAGATTATAGAACCAGAAACAGGGCCTGGGGGTCTGTGAATAGAATCAAGTCAGAAAATAATGATCCAAGACTCAACCTAGAGCCTCAGCCCATGAGAACCGAGGGTCTTAAAGAGCCTCGTATCCAAGGTTTTCAGACTTCTTCAAAAGGAATCTTCTGTGAAAGCTCGGCAGACAGACAGTGCGCCGTTGCTAAGTCGGACTCTAAGAACTCATCCTACCAATGGCTGGGCACCTATACACAAAATGTGGGTCCGAGAGAGTCATGGCAGCATTGCTTGTAGTGGGAACAAAGGCTGAAACAGCCTAATTTGGGACAGGTTAAAAAGATATTGATGTCATCAAAGAATCCTAGGCAACTACTAAAATAACAAGTTCTAGATATATTAAGAGGGAAAAAAAACAAGCTCCAGAACAACGTGTACAATATGCTACTCTTTGTGAAGGAAAGAGTGGGGACGTGCTTGTACATGCACAGACATTTCTGGAAAGATGTGGCCTCTGGGGAAAAAAATGGGGGACTAGAGAGGGAAGGAGACCGATTTCTCACTCCCTATTCCCATGTACTCTTTGGATTCTATTTAATGTAGGTTTGTATTAACTTCCGTCCCTCCCCTAACATAATGAATTTTCCAAATTAAAAATTTTAATATTAAATATTAAAATACACACTTAAAATTTTTGAAGCATGGTATTTACATGTATATGGAAATGCAAAATGGTCAAGAAGAGTGAAAGCAATCCTAAAGAAGAACACGAAACTGGAAGGACTTACCCTCCCAGACCTTGAGGCTTAATTTAAAGCTACAGTATTTAAGACAATGTCGTATTAGAGCAAAGACAGACAGACAGACAACAGACCGGAGAGTTCAGAAAGACATACATAAGTGGATACTTGACTTACGACAGAGGGGAGACTACGGGGAAAGGGAAAGAATGATCGTTTTATTAAGTGGTGCTCTTCAGCTAAACATCTATACGGAAAAAAACGTATCCTCACCCCCTGCCTCACATGATACATAAACATCAATTCCAGGTAGAGTGTAGATCCAAATGTAAAAGGCAAAAGTTAAGTTTTTAGAAAATAAATAGGAGGCTATCTTCATGACCTTGGGGGAGGCAAAGAATCCTTAAATTCTAACAGCATCAACCACAAAGAAAAAAAAAAAGCAGGGCCGGCCTGGTGGTGCAGCAGTTAAGTGTGCGCGTTCTACTTTGGTGGCCTGGGGTTCACCAGTTCGGATCCCGGGTGCGGACATGGCACCGCTTGGCAAGCCATGCTGTGGTAGGCGTCACACGTATAAAGTAGAGGAAGACGGGCACGGATGTTAGCTCAGGGCCAGTCTTCCTCAGCAAAAGGAGGAGGACTGGCAGCAGATATTAGCTCAGGGCTAATCGTCCTCAAAAAAAAAAAAGCAGATAGACTTTAGTAAAACTAGGAATCTTTCCATCAAAAGATACTATTGAGAAAAAAAACCAAACCATACCATTGAGAGTGAAAAGCCACTCCATGTAGTGAGAGAAGATATCTGTAACGCTTATTCCGACCAAAGACTTGAATCCAGAATATATAAATAACTTACAAATGAATAAAAAGGTCATATATCCTCATTTTTTTTAAATAGAAAAAGACTTGAGCAGGGAAAGAAGATTTCCAAACAGCCAATCACCACAAAAAAGGTGGCCAACTTCTCTGATCATTAGGGAAATGCAAATGAAAACCATAACACAGCTGGTACCTATATATGCTCTGTACTGTCAAAAATGAGGAGCAACTGGAATTCTCATTCCTACATCACTGGTGAATGAATGAAAAGAGCTACAGGCACATTGGAGAAGACTTTGTCAGTATCTACTCAAGCCGAAAAGACCCAGCAATTCCACTCCTGGGCATACGCGCGACAGAAATGCCTGCATGTGTTCACCAAAAGGCATGTAGCAGAATGTTCACAGCAAGACTATTCATAATAGCAAAAAAACAGAAACAACTCAAATGTGCATCTACGTCTGGTGGATTAGTAAACTGCAGTGCATTCATATAACAGAAACCACAACGAGACTCAACTACTTGCAACAACATGGATGAATCTCACAAACACACATTGAGCAGAAGCCAGACAAAAGAGAGAACAGAGTATGATGCCATTTACATGAAGTTCAAAGGCCAGCAATGCTAATCTATGGTGAAAAAGGTTGAGATGGTGGTGACCCTTGCAGGGTTAGAGACTAGAAGGTCACAAGGAGGGCTGGGGTGGGAGGGCTGGTTCCACAGGTGTGTTCAGTTTTTGGAAATTCAGTGAGCAGTACATTTACGATTTGTGCAAGTATCTCTTCGCATGTTACACTTCCGTAAAAATCTCTTGAAACTAAAAACAAAAAAAATTAAAGTAGGGTTGGTTCTAGAATATTCCTCACAAGCTGCTTGCCTGGACTCTTTCATGAACTGGGGACCATAACCAGGACTTCCTGAACGCAGTTTAAAGGCCCCTGATCTAGACCAACCCCCTCACTCTATTATGAATATTTCAATCCCCCCACTTTAAAGGAGGCAACTGAGGACAGAGAGGAGAAGACACCCAATCGGGTCACAGTCTGTGGATGGCAGGGCCAGGCCCAGAATGCAGCTGTGAGAGCTCAGAAAGAAGCCGAAATTGAGGAAATCGAGGTGCTATGGTGCAAAGTGCAGGCTCTGCTATCTGCTGGCTAGGCAACTTGGGTATGTCACTTAACCCTCCTGTGTGTTAGTTTCTTCATCTAAAACTTGGGGGACATAATGGTACCAACCTTGGGGTGCTGTGAAGATCAAGTGAGCAACACAAAAAAAGGGGTTGGCACAGTGCTCAAAGACATTGGTCATGATGACTGCTATCTTCATCAGGGATGCCAGACCAGGGGAGAGAAGGGGAAGGGACTCGTGTTTAGCATGGCTTCCATGCTGGACACTGCCACAGGGGCTTTCTTATCTCGGGCAATCCCCCCACAGCAGGACGAGATGTCACAGCTTGATGAAGGGAATCATGGGGACCAACTGAGCGCCCTGAGAAAACTCCCTGGGAGGGGCGGGGCCTGGGCTGAAAGAAGGCCCCAGCACAGCCTCATCTCCTTGGGCCTTCTCTTGCACCCCCACCCTCCCTGTGGGGCCTCTCTCAAACTTGGCACCCGCCAGCCCTCTCTCTCAGCTCCAGACCTGTGAGCCCTGCCTGGGACAGCCCCACCCTCCACCTCTCAGTCCTCCTCCTGCTCCCTCACTCCGCCCAGCCCGTCGGCCACCACACCCTGTCTGGGTGCTATTTCCCAACATGCCATATCAGATACTCCTCCCTCCCCACAGCTCCAGCCCAGCTCAGGCCTGTCCTCCCCCACCTGGAGCACCTCTCGTCTCCAGCGGCCTCCCTGAAGGGCCAGGAGCTTTCTGACATCCAGGTCTGGCCCTGGCCCTTCCTGCTCAATACTCCAGGATACAGGGAAGTGTAACTGAGTCCTTCAGAGACGCTTCCCCACCTGCTGCCCCACAGCCTCCAGACCACCTCTATTGCAGCACTCGCCACCCCTCCCTGCTTGCTAGGTGCCAGGCACCATACTAGGCCCTGGGGACAGAGCAGGGAAGAAGACAAGTCCTGACTGCATCTCGTTCCAGGCACCCAGGCTGATCACATGCGACACAGGCCCTGTCCAAAAACACGAGTCAGAAAACATTGGTGAACGGACAGTCACATCCAGCTGAGCATACCGAGGCCACTGCCTCTATATCCAATCTGACAAACCCTTCCTAAGGCCCCTGCTCCTGTGGCTCCTGCTGCCTAGGATGCTGGGTACCTCCTCTGTGCTCCCAACTCCCACACAGCTTCTAAAGCCCCATCTAATGCTACCTCCTCTGTGAAGCCTTCCTTACGCCTTCTAAAGCTGAGTCAGTCTTTCTTTTCTTTGGGGGTCCCTCATTACCCTGTATAGGAATGACTGTGTCCAGGTCTGTCTTCTCCATCAGACTTCCATCCCCTCCCCAAGTGCCACTCAAGAGTAGGGGAACCACAAGACCACCTGTGACTCATTCCTGTGCCTCCAGAATTTATATAAGTCCTGGCACAGCAGCTTCAGTAAATATTTGTGGAATGAATGAATGAATCAATCAATCTATCTATCTATCAAGAGAAGAATGAACCTCACGAAGAGAACAACATTGGCTTGAGAGCCTCGGGGGAGAAGGGGAGACTGGAGGCCCCCGGGGTCATGGCTTGGCTCTCCTGACATCCCCTCCCTGACCTCTGCCCCTGCTCTCCATCAAGAACCCTGTCTCTTCCAGCCTTAGGAAGCCTCTGGGATTGACCACATCCCCACAGGCACGGAGGCGTGACTTCTCCAAGCCAGCTGGCCTGGCCCTCAGTGAGGCTGTTACGAAGTGTCTGGTTTCCCGTCTGCAGGCCATCTGTCCCTCCCCAGCAGGTTCACTGGCCCTTCTCCAGAGGGACGAGAGGTCCTCGTTAGATCAGGAGTTCCCTAGGGGCTGAGGGAACGGCTCTGTGACGCACTGCGTTAGGGGGCCTCTGACGTCCTGTGGAGCCCTGTGTTAATCCTCTCGACCTCGGCGTCCACAGCTATTAGCCCCCCAGCTCAGTTACGGAGGACCTCCCACAGACAACGGAGGCCAGCAGGCCAGGCACTTGGCTGCTACGAAGAGCGTGGCTACCTGGCATGCCTGGCCTCCACGCCCAGCTGCTCCGGGCAGCCTCCTGCTCACTAGGTCCTGCACATCACCCACTCCCTGACCTCCTGGCAGCCCCTCGTGCCTGGTGGGAGGCAGCAGGGTGCAGGAAAGAGGGCATGGGCTCCGAGCCTGAACTCAGTTCCAGCAGGGACTCCCCATGTAACTGGTTTCCTTACCTTCAAAAGGAGGAAAATAAGACGGACCTCACGGAGTTGCTGAGAGGTTTACAGTGACACCTGGAAAGCACCTGGTGTGGAACAGGTGCTTGATAAACATTTGCTGACACAGAAAGGACCCTCTGACTCTGATCTGGTAAAATGCAGCAGTGGCTCCCCCAGGGGTTACAGGACAACGTCTGTGGCTGGTGCTCGGGTACAAGAGGACTGGACATTCAGAGCACAGCGATTAAGACTCAGGCTCTAAAGCCTCAGACACTTGGCTTCTGTCCCAGCTATGCCTTATATTTGCTGTGTGACCTGGGAAAGTTGTTTCACCTCTCTGAGACTCAGTTTCACATCTTCAAGATGGATGTCAAGTAAGTTGGCATGTGTCAACACTCAGTTGGCAAGGATGACAAAACGACCACTCCAGCAATGATGATTTATGTGGCCTACCACGGGCCAGACACTGTGCAAGGCACCCTGCCTGTGCAGCCTTGTGGAATCCTCACAATGTGCTCCTATGAGCCAGCCATTTCCGTCTCTGCCATGTAACAGTAGGCTGGCAGAGCCTCGGGCTGGACCTGGCTCTGACGGCAGAGTCTGTGCCCTCCGCTGCTCTGGCAGCAATGAGGATGGTGACGCCTTGGTCACAACCCGGGGTTGCTGGGTGCATGAGACATGTTCCTACTGGTCTGTGCACTGTGCCAGCCGAGGCTTCCCTCCTCCTCACCAGGATCTGGCTGGGGCACTGTTCAGGAAAGGCCTCTTCACCTACCACCCGCTCCCCAAAGGGCCACTCACCAGGATAGTTGTGACCACCAGGGTCTTGTTGGCCAGAGTCTGCGACAGGTTGATGTCCAGGGTGGTGGCATTCATGGCCAGGGTCCGGTTAGAGTACCATACCCCGATCTGGGGCAGAGAGGGCGCCATCAGTGCAGGCCCTGCCTGAGGATGTCTTAGCCCTCTGTGCCCTGCCGCCACTCCACCCCCACCCCATTAGGGCTCCGGCATCGCCTTGGGTCTGCTCACCTCACGGTGGCCCTGCCGGGACTTCTCCAAGATGCGCAGGGTGTAGTTGGTCCTCTGCCCTTTGCTGTTGAACTCGACCCGCCCGGTCAGCCCATCATACTCTACCTAGCAGGGCGGGAGGCGGGCAGAGGGAGCAGTGGCAAGGGCCCGAGAGATGGGCCAGAGAGGCCCAGAGGGAACAAGACAGAGGTGGGGGAAGCACAAGACAGATGGAGAGGGATCAGAAAGGATCACAGTTAAAGGAGCAAGAACACACCAACAAGAGGGGAGACAGAACAAAACGCAGGGAAAGAACAGCACAGACAAGCAGACAAAGGCCAGGGGAGGAGAGAAGAGATGGAAGAGTGAGGAAGAGGCGCAGATGGGAGAGAGGGCAGGGGGCCGCAGGGTGGACAGAGTGAGTGCCCCCGCCTGAGGTGGGCTGCCCTGTCCCCTCTGCCCCCTCCCCGCTCCCGGCTCACCATGCGCAGGTAGTTCATGAGGCTGGTCCCATGGGGCCAAATGTTGGCCGACGTACAGGCCAGCGGCTTCACACCGATCTCCTGGCTGCGATTCAGCTCCCGGACGGCGCTCACCACCACATGCACGGCGTCAAACATCAGGGCAGCTGACAGCTGGGGTGGGGGCAGAGGTGGGGCAAGATGGGAAAGGGGCAGCTTAGCCAAGGGAGCCCCGAAGCCCCTGGGGTGCCCCCCTCAGCCTCTCAGACAACTCTTCTCTCTCTAGAACATGAAACCATGCAGGTCAAGGAAGAGTCTCTGGGCATCTTTCTCAGGGAACTCGGGTAACAGTGGGGAAGGTGTGCATGCTGTCCACGCCTTTGTGGGAGCAGCTCTTCTTGACCAAGTGTGGCCACTTGTCTGTCTGGGAAAGGGCACATCTGAGAGGATTTGCCTGGATAGCCAGAGGCACTCCCACGGGGGGATGCTGTGGGCCCAAGGGTATGCCCAGGAATCTGTGTCCGCATGCCTGATGCAGCCCTTGTCTGAGTGTGTCTGAGGGCACATTTATGTGGGTGGGGCTGGACAAATGTGCTTGTCTGTCTATATACAAGATGGGTGTGGTGTCCAGGAGGCAGGAGAGCATAAACGATTGTGAGCCTGGGCCTGGGAGGCAGGCAGCTCTGAATTAGAGGCATCATGTAGGGCTAGGTCCCTGCCCCTCTCGGAACCTCGGTTTCCTCCCCTGTAAAATGGGGATAATCGTAATCTCTGAGCGCTAACATGGGGACCAAGCGAGACAGCGCATGTAAAGAACCCAAAACAGCCCCAGGCACATAGCGAGTGCTCCATACACACTGGCCACCGAGCTGTGACTCACAGCACAGGGCGTCTGTGTGCGTGTGTGCTTGCGAGAGTCTGTCTTCGCTGGGTGGGTGTGAAGGTCTCAGTATATGTGTTGTGTAGGGAGGCACAGGGGTGTGTACAAATGTGCCTCTGTCCAGGTATGTGTGTGATGTCCCTGCGTGCACACAACTTACTGCACGGCTCGGTGTCCGTGTGTGTTTCTGTGCACATAAGAGTGTCTTGGTATGTGACTAGATGTCTGTAAACAAATACACATAAATATGCATCTTTTGTATGTTTACATTTATTCAGCATATATTATCGGACACCTACTATGAGCCAGGCTGTTTTAGGTACTGGGGATACAATGGCGCACAAACAGACAGACACCCCTGCCCTCAGGGAACTTACAATCTATATACCTGGATCTACATCTGTATATAAGTAAAATATAGAGCAAGCCACACGGCAATCAGATAAGCAAAGCAGGGGCTATGGAGGAAAATATAGCAGGGAAGGGGGCTAACTAGTGGGTAGTTTCCCATTTTTAAACAGAGAGGTCAAGAAAGCTCTTACAACCGAGGGGACATTTGAACAATGACTTGGCGATGAGGGAGGGAATCACTAATTCTCTGTGGAAGTGCACACAAAGCAGTGGGAAGAGTGTGAAAAGACCCCGAAGCACGTGTGTGCTGGGGCAGCAGAGGCACCAAGAGGAGGCCAGTGTGGCTAGGGCAGCATGGGAGGTGGAGACGAGGAAACAGGTCAGACTTTTCTCAGGGCCACACTGGGAAGCCTTTTGGCATGTACTTGGAAAACGAGTGAGGGCGCCGGAGGGTTCTGAGCACCATCTGACCGAGGTTTGAAGGGGCCCCCGGAAGTGTCTATGTGCAGGGCGTCTGTGTGTCGGGGGGATGAGGGCGCTCACCGCAGGGCCTGGGTAGGTGCTGGCTTCGCAGTTCTCCCTCCAAGACATGTTGAGGCTGCGCACAAACTCGGGGTAGAAGGGGTGCGAGGTGTTGAACATGGAGAAGCCCAGGATGTTGGAGGAGTCCTCCACGATGCCGTCCAGGTGCAGGATGGAGAAGTCCTGGGACCGAGAAGAGGAGGTGAGGCCTGGGGCCGGGCCCCACATGGGACAGACACTGCGGGAGGGCAGGAGGGCTGGAGCGGGTACGCACCATGGTGGTGAGGATGTACTTGTAAAAGGCTGAGGTCATTCCCAGCTCCGAGGCCTGGAGAACACGGGGAGGTAGAGACGGCAGGAGAGGCGGAGACCACAGGCAGAAATGGGGAGACGTCGAGAGAAGAAGGGAGATTTAGCGACAGGTCTGGTGAAGACACCTTGTGGGAAACACAGTAAGAGACACCCAGAGACAGAGCGAGACAGGGAGAAGGAGACACGTGCAGGCAGAGGGAGACCTTGGTCCCTCACGTTGCACCACACTGACTGATGCCCCAGGGGGGATGAAGATGTTGTTGGAGGAGAGAATGGCGCCCTCAAATGCCCGTGTCCCTCTTTAGGGCACTTAGAAGACTGTCTTCTGGAGACAGTTAGGCAAAGAGACACCTCAGAAACAGGGCAGCCAGGGAGGGTACCCAGAACCCTAACCTTAACCCCCACACCGCCCCAAAGCCAAGTCTGGGCTGCCAATGTATAGGGCTCAGCCTGGTCACAGGTCAGATAAACTCCCTCTGCCATCTTCAAAAGCACTCTGCAATGAAAGGCAGCCAACTCAAATCTCAAGATGCGTGTCTGATCCCCTTTCTCGCAGTCCTTGAAGAGAACAAAGCTAGGAGACCTCTCCATGCCAGGAGTGCCCAGTCCTGTCCCACTATGATCAGGAGAATGTTAAATGGCATCAGCTGGTGTTGCCTGAGTGGCAGGTTCTGTTATCACATGGGTTACAGCCCACTCCATGACAGGGAAGTGCAGGCTCAGAGGAAGGTGACCACCGGTCACACGGCTCACATGGGAGGGGCTGGGACCCCAGCCCAGGCCTGCCTGCCTCCCATGCCCGACATCCTTTCTCTAAGCCATCCAGCCTCAAGAGTCCATGCTCCTCCCTGTAAGCTACCATCGCAGTGACATATGGTTTTAATTAAAACAAACAAAAACTGGAGAAAAATAAATAATACAGATTAGATCATGAGAAAAATTAAAAGCGTGGAAGCAATGAATGATTAATGAATGTGGGTCACTGGTGGAAGGCAGGTGGAGGGCTCATGGGGGAAGGTCCTGGTGCTGGCCCCTCCTGGATGCCCTTGAGCCAGTTCATCCCCCCCAAACTCCAGCTTCTTCATCCACAAAGTGATCATCACACCTGGCCCGCAGGGTGGGGTGAGAGCCAAACTGAAGAATACGTGCAAAGCACCTCAACACACAGCAGGACAGGGCCAGGCACTGTCCAAGCGCTTCCCTGCCACGCACTCATTAACCCTACAGCAACCGGCTGAGGTAGCACCTATTCACAGAGGAGGGGGGACTGTCCAGGGCTTGACCAGGGGAGCAACTGGGAAGCCGCTGAGCTGAGACACAAACTTCAGGGTTATCGTGTGCACGAAGGAAGCGGGTCTCCATACCCCTGTGTGACCACTCAGGCCCATGGCATTGGGTGACTTGCTCTGTCACCCCATGTTTCTGCCCCTGACCCTGCAGGGAATCAGAGGCGGGGCAGGGGGACCCACCTTACGGAGGATGAGGTGGGAGATGGACGCGTTGGCATCAATGATGATGGTGGACACCTTGTCATCCCGGATCTCCTTGAGCAGCGGTGTGGGGTCCCGGCTGTCGTCCAGCATCCTCACTGACAGCGTCTCCTTGGAGATGAGGAAGCCACGCACCAGTTCCTCCAATCGCAGCAGGCCTGAGAGAGGGGTTGGCCCAGGTTAGAGCCCCTCCATGTGCCCAGACATGGGGCAGACACTCCCTCCCCGCCCCCCAACACGGGGTAGCTGAGGAGAGAACGAGGGCACTCAGGAGACACAGGCGGCTGTCTGGAGCACAGCGGACTCTCTTGGAGTACTGGGCCCAGGGTGCTCCCAAAATAAAATCCCAACCTAGACTTCCCCCCAGACCTCCACACGCCTATCTCCTGCCACCTTTCTGCCCCCACTGGGACGTGTGACAGGCATCTCACACTTCACACATGCAAAGCCGCACTCGGCTCTTCTTGCCCAAACCACCTTGTCTTCCCGGGTCAGTGAACGAACTCCAGACTGCCAGTTACTCAGGTCAAAACCCTTGACAGCCGCCTCGCCTCCAATCTTTCTCTCTCACACCCATGCCCCATCCACCCAGGCTCTACCTTCAAAACACATCAGCCGCCATGGCGCCACACCACCATCAAGGCCCTGGCCAAGGACACTGCCATTTCTCGCCTGCTACAACAGCCACACTTGTCCCCAGAGGCTTCATTCCCTACACAGCAGCCAGACTCATGTAAAGCGGACATGTTCCTCCTCTGCTCCAAACCTTCCAAAGGCTTCTCCTTTGTTCAGAGGGAAGGCCAAAGTCCTCACAGCCTCCAAGGCCACTCCATCTGCCACCTGCCTCGTTACCTCCCTGACCTCATCTTCTCCTCTCTCACTCCAGCCACACCAGTCTCCTCGGTGTCTGACACACATGACAGCCATGCTCCTGTCCTGTGGCCTTCACACTGGCTGTTCTCTCTCCCAGATCCCCGGGCAGCTCCCTTCCTTGCCACCTTCAGATCTTTACTCAAATGTCACCTCTTCAATGAGGCCCACACCCACTGTTCCATTTCAATTTGAACCCACCCCACTCCAGGACACCCAATCTCCGTTACTTCTTCCATTTTTCCATAGGACTTACTCTTTCTGACTATACAATGTCCTTCTCTGTGTTCGTTGCCTAGCTCCTCCAGTTACAGTGTGGTTTGACGGGGGCGGAGACCCCGGCCTGGCTCACACACTGCTGTATGCTATATCTCCAATACCAAGAACAACGTCCAGCATACAGCAGGTGCTCAGTAAATACCTTCCGAAAGAGGAATTCCTCCTGGAGTTTACTGAGCACAGCCCTCTCTCTCTCTCAAGGTGCACAAACCCACCAGCCTACTTGAATGACATCTCCATTTGAATGTCTCAAAGACACCTCAAACCCAGTGTATGCCCCTGAACTGACTGTCCCCTCCTCCTTGGGCAGAAGCCTGGTCAACATCCATGACCCCACCCACTCCCTTCCCTCACGACTCTCCTCAACTCCATCCTGGCCTTTCCATTCCCACTGCCACCATCAGAGCCCCAACCAGAAGCATCTGTCCTTGCCTCTGGCTGGTCTCCCTGCCACATCTCGCGTCACTCTCCAGTCCGTTCTCTACACTGCAACCAAAGAGCTCTTCCTGCAGTACACCTCGGGCCACATCCCCTTACCCCACACTGTGTGGGGACCTTCATCTTTAGCATAAAACACAAGGTCCTACGTGACCATACCCTGCCCGGATGTCCTGCTTCATTGCTCCCACACACCGACCAGAGAGAATCCTTGAGCCTCTCAAGGGGGCCATGCTGCCTGGGCCTCCGGCTCTGCCCTGCCATGCTGTGTCCTCTGCTCAGAGCATGCTCCTCCCTTCTCCCCTACCTCAAATCCTCCCCACCCTTCAGGTCCAGCTTAGATGTCCCTTTCTCAAGGTTATAGGCTCTGAACCTCCCAGGCCAGGTTAGGATTCCCTCCTGTGTGCTCCTACAGCCCCCCACATGCCTCCTGACAGAGCACCTGTCACTCCACGTCACCATTGCTCAACTACTGCTCAACTACCATGGGGTCCTGTGAATTCAGGGACCATATCTAGTGCCGTTCACTGCTAAACCACCAGGGCCTAGCAAGGCCCTTGCACCTAGGAGCTACTCAGTATCTGTTGACTAAATGGTCTCTTTGGGGAGGTAGGAGGTCTGTGAAACCAGAAGTCAGGATTCCTGAAGGCGAAGGGATGGTAGGGACTAGGAGAGTTTGTGCCTGGGTCCCCCAGGGGTTATAACCAGGGGTCCTAATGACTGCGTGGGAGACTAGATGTCTTGGGAAAGGGAGTTCGGGGGAATAGAAAACGAAACGTCCAGTCCTCCTCCCTCACACTCGGCCTTGGCGCAGATGAGGCTGGCTGAGGGGTAGTTGAAGGACTTGAGGATTCGGGAGACCGCCAGGCTGACGTCCTCGTTACTGGGGTACAGGCTGACAGATGCGAAGCGAAGGTACTGCAGGCGCGGCGTCTCCTCGGGACCCACCTTGATGTGGGGGATCTGGATGGAGAAGCAGCCTTTGCTTCTATCCTACTCCCTCCCCGCACAACCCTCGCCTCCCACAGACCCGCTCACCCCGCCCCACACTCACCTCCTTCTCCCCACAGATATGGCTCACGGTGGAGGCCGATGCAGGGCTGGATGAGGGCCCCAGGACAGACACAACTCCCTTGGGCAGGATCTGACACACTGCAAGGGGTGGGAAGAGACCAGGAGACCACAGAGTTAGGCATGCTCTCCCTTCTCTTTGTCCCCACCCTCAGGGAATCGCCCTCAGGGAACCCCTCAACAAACCCTCACTGAGTGTCGGGAACCATCCAGGAAAGGATCCGACACTCAGCTGCCTGATGCTCCTCCACCACCCTGGACCCAGAGGCCCTATCCTGACCCCACCCACCACAGCGGACAAAAGGAGGGGGCACAAGTCAGAGAGAGACGGGAAATACGCCAATAGCAGGAAGGGTCAGACCCAGAGAGAAACAAAGGAAGGGATGAAGAGGAAACACCCAGGGCCTCCTTCTGGCTGCAAATCCAGTGCCTGGTTCCTCAGCCTTCATCTTTCTCAACCTTTCTAAACACACTACAACTGAGGGTGTATCCAACAGCCCCTCTACCCTGAACTCATGGCCGAGGCCCCTCTGCAGTGTATACTCCAAATACCATTCTTCTGGTGCATTTACTTGCTCCTCTTTCTTCCACTATTTTTCCCCCTTAAACATGTGTGCACCTCAAGACTGGGAGGTGGACGCTGTTGTTTTTGCCTGCCCAGTGCCCACTCTCATGGCAGAACCCTAACTTTCCCTTAGGGAGCCACATGGTTCCCAGGATTGATTGGCATCTGACCCAGAACCACAGAACTACATTGTCCTGGACACAGTGACTGGTTCAAAGATGGAGACGGGCTCAAACCACGTCACTGAGAGCCTTCCTCAGGCCTTCTGCTAAAATTATCACTGGGTTTGCTAAACTGGCAAGATACAAGTTTTGAGCTGTTGAGGACATCTTGCCACTACTTAGTGAAGGCATTCCCGAAAATGAAGCCAACTTAGAGGAAAGCAGGCACCCAGAGATAAAGACAGAGCGATTCCTGGAACATCATCTTGAGCACCTGGATCCAGCCAGGCCTGAAACAATCATGAGACATCATTTGAATACCTGGATCCAACCATGACTGAAATTAGTCCTTAGGCCTTTTAGTGACATGAGCTGATAAATTCTCTTTTCTCCTTAAGGCAGCTTGAGTCGGGTTTCTGCCACAGTCAAGTAAAAGCACCATAACTAAATGTCTCATCTTTCTCCAAACTTGTTCCTTCTATACCTTCCATGTTGGTGAGGGCCCCACCACTTGCACAGACCAAATAAATGAAACGGTCCTTGCCTTTAATCTCCCTCCCAATATTGCCAATTAGTCACCAAGTCCTGTCTCTTTTTGTCCTCAAATTTTCTCACATCTGTCCACTTCTCTTCAACCCCTCTTCCCCTGACCTACTTTAAGGTTCTCAGCTCAGGCGTGCTCCAGCCTCCTCACTGATCACCTAAATCTAGCCCCCAGATTCACCTTTTACGCTTTTTTTTTATTTTGGTGAGGAAGACTGGCCTTGAGCTAACATCTGTTGCCAATCTTCCTCTCTTTTTTCCTCCCCAAAACCCCAGTGCACAGTTGTATACCCGAGTTGTAAGTCATTCTAGTTCTTCTATGTGGGTCCCCACCACAGCAAGGCTTGATGAGCGGTGTGTAGGATCTGCACCCAGGATCCCAAGTGGTGACCCTTGGGCCGCAGAAGCAGAGTGCATGAACTTAACCACTTGGCCATAGGGCCGGCCCCAGATTCACCTTTTAGAAGCCCAGCTCCCTGGTCTAAACTCATCAATGGCTCCCCATTGCCTGTGGGTGAAGGCTGCACCTTTCAGCCTGCCAGTCTTGCCCAGTCTCACCTCCCACTGCCCAGTTACACTCCAGCTCAAAAGTCTCTCACAATCCCCCCAAACATGTCCTGAGTCCAGGTGGTCAAGATGGGTGCAACCCCACACCCTGTTCCTTGGCTCTGAATGCTCCCCCCTCCCCTCCACCCCACCTCCAGACTACAGGCACATGCCTAGAACACCATCTGCCTCCTTACCCTCCAGCCCAGCTTCTCCCGATTTGTATTCTGTGCTGCACTGGTCAAAAAAGTCCAGCAAACATTATACCTCATTCTCTCTCTCAGTAATTTGAAATACACATGATCATAATAAAGGATCTGATAAGGCCTGTAGGAAAGACTCCTGTCTAAAACACACCTGAAGGCAGCATCTCCCAATGGTCTGCAAACCCAGCCTGCCCGTTCAAGGGACCCCTGTTGACATCTGCTCAGTCCATCAGGCTCCAACATATAATTACATATGCTACTGCATGGATGGCAGTGCTCCACAGGACATACTTTGAGCAATGCCACTCGTTCCATATTCTGCTTACCTTTCAGGGCTCAGCTTCAGTTTAGCCTTCTCCAGAACACCTTTGCTGCCCCTGCCCCTGAAATCCCCTGGTCTTAATGCCTGGGCCCCTAGTTACTCAACTCTGGGGGCTGAGTGTCCCCAACCAGTTTATCCTTCAAATGAAGTTTATCCTTCAAATGAGGCTCTCAGCTTCTCCAGGGCGGGACTGGGGCCCCACCTCCCCATGCCCAGCAGCACCATCTCTGGGAAGGAGAAGGCAGAGCAGACATGAAGGAAGGAGCAGATGGAGCTGGAAGACGATGAGGTGAGCTCAGGAGGCTGGGGGCCGAGGGATGGACTGAGCTCTGAAGGGCCCTGCCCCCTGTGGCCCTGCTCACTGGTGTCCGTGGTCTCGTACTGGCTGTCCCGCTGCAGCTCAAAGATGTCTACTTCGACTCGGGCCTTGGCTGGGACCTCGATGATCCCGTTGATCTGCTCCCGGGCCAGGGCCAGGGCCAGACGTTCACCGCGGCCACACACTGTCTGGTCGTCCAGGATTGCAGCTAAAGGGACACAGGGGTTGCAGTTCTGAACTCCTGCATCCTGAGGGAGGAGGGGCTGGGGTCCTGGACTCCTGGGCTCTGGAGTGGGGGTGGGGATGGGGACCAGGGGTCTAGACTCCTGGATCTGAAGTTGGAGAGAGCTAGGGGTCTGGACCTCTGGGTCCAGGGGGAAGAAGGGGCTGGGGACTATGCTCCCCAACAACTGCTGAGGAAAGGTGAAAACTGAAGCCCAGATTCCCGGATCTTGAGCTACTGGCATGCCTGGGTTCCCACGGAGGATCCGTGGAGCCTGATGGGAGGGTATCTGAGGAGGCAGGGGCAGAGGGCTGTAGGGCCTCACCCATGCGCAGTGATGAGAGCACCTGGCAGCTGGGGCTGGCAAAGGCAACAATCAGCAGCAGCAGCAGCTCAGCCGGCATCTTCCTCCCCTCCTCATGGGGACGCAGCTGCCGCGGCCCCCACTCGCCACCTGGAGGGAAACCCCCAAACCATGGGAGATTGCTGATGTGGGGGCCTCAGAGCCTCTTTGGAAGACTGCTGGGCAGGATAGTGACCACAGACTCTGGGACATTGTTAGTGAGCTCTGAAGGGCCCTGCCCTCATTAGAAGCATTGCTAGCAAGAGGCTCAGGCTCAGAGGAGCACCACCAGGGAGGAGCTCAGCGCCCAGGCACTGAGTGGGAGAGGCACTGCTAGAGGATATTCACAGCTACCAAAATGGGAGGGTGACAGGATGTGGATCTCAGGTAAGAGCGAATTCCAGGGACCATCCCCACCCCAATAAGAAACCAGGAAGTGCCACCCCCCACCCAGTCCCGCCCCTGTCTCTGGGCAGGCAGCTGTTGCTAGGCAACAGAAACCGGCTGGAGAGGATGCGGTGGTTGCTAGGCAACCCCATCCCAGGCCTCACTTGCCACCTTACTGACGTCCCTGGTTCCCACAATCCCATGGAGAGAGAGGCCTGGACATCCGGGGTCTGGAGGGGAGAGTATCCGGGAGTTAGGAAACTTGGAGAGAGAGGGAAAGATGGAGAGAGAGAGAAAGATGGAGACACACAGATGGAGACAGATGGGTGAACCCAAGGCTGCTAAGGGTCTAAAAAAAACAAGTAAAGAGCGAGAAGAGGGGAAGAGAGAGACAGAAAGAGGAAGAGAGGCTGAGAGGGGGGAAATACAAAGAGACTCATAAAAAGAGAAAGGGAAAAATAGGCAGAAATATAAAGGAACAGAAAGATGGTAAAACAGGAGAATGGGGATAGAAGTGGAGAGAACAGAGGAGAGTTACAAGGAGGTAAGGCCAGGGCTAGGAGAGAAAAAGAGGGAAGAGACAGGAAGAGAGGGAGGCATGGAGATGGACAGAGAATGGGCAGGGCAGGGAGAAGAGAGGGAAATCAAGACACAGAAGAGACAAAACAGAACAGAAACACAGTGAATGGAGAGAAGACACAAACCCACTGGAGATGACACCACAAAGCTGGAAGGGAGAAGTGAGTGAGGCAGGGAGTGTGCTGTCTGCCCAAACAGGTGCTAAACTGCGGCCTCCCACCCTGCTGTGGGGAGCTGAAGATTGGAGGGGGGGAATGCATCTTTGCTCCCCACAATTGCTCCACCCTCAGCATGTTAAGAGATTCCACCAGGTGCCCCAGCCTTCCGCAGGGGGACCACTGGGCAGGGGTGAGTTCAGCCAGATGTGAGGCTCCGTGGGTCAAGGAGTGTGCCTCAAGGGAAGGGACACTTGGGTTTCTATGAGAGAGGTTCTGTGAGGCCCAGGGTGCTATGAGGTGAGCCTGCTGTCTCCCCACACCCCACATTATCCCCATGGAGAGAGGGCTTGAGCTGGTGAGAAGGCAGAACGAAACCTGCGAGAGGAGGAAGAGGCACAACACAAGACTTCAGATGGTCCCTTGGGGCCAGGAAAACCTAGGCCAGGGCAGCAGGAGACCCCATCAGTCTCCACTCTGCCCCCAACTCCTGGGTGACCTTGAGCCAGTCCCTCTCTCTCAGGGCCTCTGGGAAAAATAGGCTGGGGAGTGGGAGGGCATGCTGGGCAGAGCAGGGCTGTGGACTGTAATTTGGATTTAAGGTGAAGGCTTGTCAAGGGTGGAGGAGCAAGGGAAGCCTGGAGAATTCACAGAGGGAGAGGTGTGGAGGGTGGGGCTAGGAGAGAGGCAGGAGTGAGGGGGGTCATCCTGAGACAGTAGGGACCTCTGGGGGCAAATTAAGGAGCAGAGACTAGAGGACAAAAAGACTGAGGGAGAGACAGAGATGAGAAGGTCAGGGACCCACAGGTGGCAGACACAGGTGGGAGGAGAAAAACAGATTCAGAGTGCAAGGACAGGGTTGAGGGCAGCAGACAGACACAGAGACACAGAAAGGTACCGAGAGAAAGACAGACAGACCCAAAGGAAGTGACTGGGGCTAAATGAGAGAATAGGACATGCAGACACTACCTAGAAGTGAGACACCAAGGCGGGCAGACAAGAGGGAGGGTGGGAGAGAGAAGGGGCAGAGAGTCAGGCAGGCCTGAGCCCCACAGGCCCAGAGACTCAGGGAAAGCCAGAGAAAGGTGGAAACACAGCAGCCAACTGAGCAGAAGGGGCCCTGGCAGGGGAGGGAGACAGACAAGTGGGCAAGCAAGAAATATCACAAAGGCGAGAAGGCAAATCAGGTTAGAGAAGGCAAATGGGGTGAGGAGGAGGGCGAAAAAAATGACAACAGGTACGAGAATTGAGGGAAGGAGAGAAATCACAAAACTCTGAAAAGAAAGAAAGCCAGTCGGAAAGAAAGACAGAAAGAAAGTATGTCAGAGCCACACAGTAAATCTATAGAAGAGAAAGGGCAGGCAGGGCAGACAGAAGATGGAGAGAGCTGGACTCACAAACTAGGGGATGGGGGAGTGAGAGTCAGGGAAGGAAACTGAGGGACCTGGAGGGGCCCAGGCAGGGACAGGGGCACGTCCAAGCACAGGTGCATCCACTCAGGGTGCTTTGGGGGAGGCGTCAATCCCAAACCTGTAAGCCCTAAGTGTGGGGAGGAATGGGAACCAAAACACCAGGCTGGGAGGGGGACAAGAGGATGGAGGTGGGGGGGCGAGATTACCAAGGAAAAGACAAAGTACAACATGGAGCGAGGCAGTGGCTAAGGAGTGAGGGATGGAGGAATGGACCCAGAGTGGATCTGGGGGAGGAAAACAGAAAAGTGAGAAAAGGAAGACGGCCCCCAAGCCCAGAGTTAGAGAGGGAGGAGGACAGGTAAGCAGAGACACAGGCAGAGCACACAGGGAACAGAGAGAGTGGAGAGAGGGCTAGATCTGGCATGGGAGCCTCCAAAAGAGAAAGCCAAAAGACAAGGGAGTTTTGAGACAGAGAGAGAGAGAGATCAACAGAGACACACCGAGAAACGGTTAGGCTAACAGCAGAGAGAGAAGTTGGAGAATCAGAGAGAAGCCCAAGAGAAACATGAAACGGAGATTCAAAAACAGAAAGACATTTCCAGGAGATAGAGCCTGGCTGGGATGTGGACCAGCCGTAGCAGGCAGAGAGGATGAAGCTCAGAGGTAAAAAGAGAGAGAGACTGAAACAGAGTGAGAGACAGCAGAGCCGGCACGGGGACTGGGGCTGGAGAAAGCAGGGGCGGAGACATGCCAGGAGTCCCGGAGAAGGAGTGAGACCACAAGTAAAAGCCAGTCAGCCCCTCAGGACCCCAGGAGCTGGGGGCTGCGGGGCGAGAGTGAGCTGTGCCCAGAAAAGGGGTGAGAAAAGGCAGAGGTGAACGGGGATTGGGGAGAAGGGGGAGCGCCAGCAGGCCCCTGATGGGGGAGGGGGCAGGGGAATGTGGGGGCCCTGCCAGGCGGCAGTGAGCCCAGCCTTCCAGGACCCAGGCCGGGCCCCAGCCCAACCCCCGCCCTGCAGACACTCACGGATCCTGGTGGGACGGAGGGCGAGGACTGACCACAGGGAGATGCTCTGGTGCTGGGTGGTGGTGGTGTGGCTGGGGCGGGGGGGGGGGGGGGGGGGG